GGTATTGGCTTTGAAAAGGATGATTATTCTTGCTATTTTTCGCAGACTCCTTAAGAGGTTTCCTTTTTATTTTGTGAGCTTGTTTTGAAAGGGTTTTTGGTTGCTCTAGTCAGGAGACTGCTAATTCCATTCTTTCAATGTTATTTTTGCTGCTTCTGCTTCTGCTGCTGCTGGAGGGTTTGACATTTCTATGACTTAGTCCAAATATTTTCCGTACCAGTAGTCAATAGTTGGAATTGGTGGCGACAGACTGCTTGCATGGTATTAACATAAACAAAATAAACAAATACCCAAATAAAGAAACATTACAACTCTATGACATGATGTTCGTTCACGTGATTGATGACTTATTTCGGTGCTAAGGTCGGCCTTAAAAAAAATTATGTAGTTCTGGAAGCAACCACGGGCATCTCAAAAAATATCTGCAGCAGTCTCGGGCAACTTGGATCAGCTAACAGCAACTCGAAAATTTTCAGGAGCACTTCGTGTCATCTTAGAAAAACAGAGAATAGTCTAGCTCATGTAAAAAATAAACAATAAGCAAACCCACCCACCAAAAAAAGAAAATTTAAAAAATCATTCTTTAGGACAAAAACTACTATAAGGTGTCGATTGACGATTTCACACATTTAACCATTCTTTAGAATTTGGCATACTGATCTTTGCTTTTTAAAGTTTCTATGTTTCTATTAGACAAGATCACCCAACGATGATTGTGGCCAAGTTTCCTTTACATTTAGCTCAGTTGTTGCAGAGAAGAAGATTTTTGTAAAAATTAACTACAAAGGATGACAGACAACGGACGCAAAGTGATTGTTCAAATATTACCACGTGAGCAACATACGAGTTATTCAGGTGAAGAACAGTCATTTCCAAAATGGGAACAATAATCTAAGGATTAACAAATAATTTGTGAGTAATAACTTGACACCAAAAGAACACACAAGAAGTGATTTTTTTTTATTAAGAATAGAAAACAATTATTTTCAAAACCAATTAACGATACAAACTCCCGTATTCGAATATTATCAATTTACAAATGAAATATTTATACATGATATAAGTACAAGTTAGATTTACAGTCACAGAAAAGGTTGTTAAAACACATGAACCTTAAGTTCGGATCATTTTCGAAAATCTCCGAAAAAGGAGGGCAGATAGAATGAGGTTCATAACAGCTTAGATATGGGCACCTGGTATTTTGTTGGTAATACTGAATTGCTAAAATTATTCGTGTGTGTCACTGGCTGTCGATAATACTGATCTCACGCTATTACAATATGTAAAGGGCCCCTAAATGGGGATGTTCATAATTCCTATATATCCACTTTCCTTTCATAAAATAAAAGTTTTTTGCATAAAAGTTTATAGGAAATTGTTTAAGGTATGATTTTTATGATCACACCAACAAGTTTCTTTAGAAAGAATATATTAATGTTCAGAGGTTATATCATCACATAATCGAGAGAAAAAAATGTTGTATATTTTTGCACAAAACTTAAGTTCAGTTCCGTGGCACATTAACAAAAAATACGAGAAAATTTATTCGTATGAGTTGAACCAAGGGTCATAAAAAATTACATTAGTCCTCCTAACGATATTTTCAGGCACGGAACATATTGGATATCACATTGAAGACTCCAACGATCGTGTACTCTAAATCCTTTCCGAAAACAATGATCTTTCAAAAAAGCACAGATAATACGGCACAGATATCCAACTTAATTTCGAATATGTCCTTGTCGCAACATTTAATGCTACAAAGCACAATGGATTTAAAGACGGATATGATATTTATCTGCACTGGTTAGGATTAGGAAGAGACATTTTTCCTATTTACTGTATGTACTATTAACTTGAAAACTTTTTTTGGCGTATCATAAGATCTAACTATCAACTGCAATAACTTTTTTATTGGCATCGTTGTCATATCTATTTGTATGCATGTTTGAAATGTTGTAGTCAGTTGTGTTGATTTTTGCCTGCTGGCTCCCAATTATTGTAATATTAACAAATTATGACTGTTTGGGCTGCTCATCCAATTTTGTCAATATAACGGAACTATAAACAACTGTCATATAAGTGGGAGGTCTAGCTAGCTATAAAACCAGGTTTAACCCACTATTTTCTTCGTGAAATGCCTATATTAAATCAGGAATATGACAGTTGTTTTCCATTCGTTCTGTTAGTTGATATAGTCTAAAGTTTGATTTTGCCAGGTTTTATTGACTCCCTCCTGAATTTACCTTGGAGTTCGGTATTTTTGTTAAGAATACTTTTTGGGGGAGTTTATGTGTAAGGAGCACGCAAGAGCGTAACAGAGATATGTAAACGCTATACGATGGCACAATGGGTATTTACTGCTGAGAAAAAGGAAGTGGACTATTGAAAGTTGAAATAATCTCGTTTGTCATAGATTCTAGTTTGAAGTCGTCCATCTGTGTCTATATAGAGGAAAAGATCAAGATATGAAGCACACCTTCTACTGTCGGTAGTATCCTCAATCTCAAGTTCACTAGAAATAGCACTCATTGATTTTTTTGTTATTGAGTGACAGAACATCATCAATATATCTGATAGTGAGATTAAAGAACGTTGCAAGATGCTTTATCATTTTGTCTTTGAGAAGGTTCTGTATGAATTCTGTTTCATATGAGTACAAAAAACAAGTCGGCCAGTAATGGTTCACAATTAGTACCCATTGGAGTACTAACTGTCTGCTGAAATATCAAACCATCAAACTCAACAAATAAGTTGTCGATCAAAGAGTCCAGAATTTTGATGATATCATCTTTGATGTATTTTTGTTTTAGAATCAAAGTGGTTTATTACAAAATAAGATTTTTCATGATCTTATAAAAGGAATGTGTACCTTCGATTACATTTTTGTAGAAAGGCTCTGGTAATTGAGATGATGAGTCAATATTCTAATTGAGCATTGGGAATGGTAGTGTAAAGAGTAGAAAAATTAAAGGCTTTGGTATAAATGCAAAATTAATAAGATTGTAATTGCAGATTTTGATTAATCTCTTTTGAAGTTTTAAGAATCCACATCTGATTGACACACTGATTAAATATACCTGATTAGAATATTTCTGAAGGCCATCTGCTAATGTAGAAAGAATTGTGGTAAGAACTTTAGAAAAATGATTAGTCGAGCATCTTAACGACCCGGCTATATATCGTTCTTTATAAGGATTTGTGTGAAGTTTAGGTATCAGCTATAAAAGATGGGAGTTCTGATCGTCCTTTTGATGTTAATACCAAAGGAGATAAAGACAGATTTGTGATTTTCTAAAATTTCATCATCGTAAATGATGTAGGTGTATAGGTGGGGTTCCAAGTTTTGCTATGAATTACAAGTTATTTAGGTAGACATTCCAAATAATGGTTTTTGCATATGAAACAAAATTATTTAAGGCTTTATCTTTTGGAATGCAAACTATATTGGAAATGACATTAAAAGTTTAATATTATCTATTCTTCGTTTCTGCGGTTAGAAACAATACAAACTAACTAATATTACGTTTAACACTTGTTCCCCCTTTTTGCATCAAAATCCAGGTTCATATCATCTAGATATAATCGAATCAACATCTTTGTATACTGTTAGTATAGAAAATTTTCCCTACTACACGAAAAATTGGTATCAACGAAAATAAATGAATCAACAGTACTTTATTTGTACACAACATTTAAACAGACTCAGAGTAACATTTGTTGAAACATTCAAAGTTATCTATACCAATAGGGTTATGCAAGTTCTATATTCTTTAATAAAACTAAGGAGATAATTTCAGTCAATGTGGTTTCACTCAAAATGACTTTTTATTTAGATGTTGAATTGTACTTATTTCTCTTTTGTAGTATCAGTGATTTAATATTTATCCATGAATAATTAAATAATATGTTTACAGTACAATTGCATTAGAATGATAAATCGAGAGCACTCACACTAAACTGATCAACACGTGATAATTTGTAGGTTTTAATACTATTGCAGGTGTATGTTGACATAAAATCTGAAGATGAAAATTAATCTGAAGTTTACTTTAAAATGTTCAACAGGTGCGAATAGTTTTTCTCGTACTATTTTTTATGAGCCATAGAACTTAATATTTTGGCAAAAACGTAATTTTCTCTCTATTATTTGGCCTCCGAACATCAATTATTCTTTCAAAAAAAAACTTTTTTGATGTGATTATATAAATTATATTTTAAACAAATTCCTATAAACGAGGGTCTGGATGGGTTTACAGAAGAGAGAATAAAATTATTGTCCAAAATAAAATATTGAATAGAAAAATAAGCAAAAAATATGAAAAATAGAGAATAATTGGTTGTAAAAGTATAACAAATAACTGTTGAAAATAAGAGAATTGGGTAATACAATACAGATTACAGAAATGAACAATGTAAAGAAATCCTCTAATTACAGAATGATTTTTATGAGAATTTTACAGAATAACCATCATTTGTAAAGATAGAGAAAAATGCTTTAAAAATTAAAGAATACAGAAATTAAGGACCCCACCCCAGGCGCTCATAAATATTAACGCAAAAAACTTCTTTTTTTTTTTTTAATTGGTAATATGTATGTGTAGTAATTATGTACAACCCTGAAATACTGTAATTGCGTGAAATCATTGTTATCAACAGCCGATAAAGTTTAATAGTTCGGTATTAACAACAAAATACCATGTGTCCATATTCAAGCTGCTGTGAACCTCATTCAAAATTTAAACCATAAATCGAAGAAATTAAACTAGCTACAATAGACCACTAAATAAAATAAGAAAGAGTAAAACGAATACTACAAAATATTGGGATTGAAATTAGGTCTTGTATGTCCTTGTTTAGAGCTTTTAACAAGAATGTTGAATTTCAACTTTCTTTTTTTTTGTATATTATTGTTCCTCAATCTTCAGTTTTCCTTCAGATACTGATTTTAGCTCTGATTATTGTCTCCCCATTTCTACGAAGAATTCGATTGTCCTTCAAAAAGAGAAATTTTTAATTCGATACTATAAACATGATAAAAATACAATAGTTTAGACACGTTTAAGACTTTCGGAAATAAAGAGTAAGTCATAGAAAAAAAGAATGATACTGTTGACATACTTTAAAAGTGCGTGTCATGATGTGATCAGATTACTCAAATCACATATCCAGAAAAATCCAAATGAATTAATATGGCTTATATTATCACTATCTAATTTTTGTTTTTACTTCTCTCAGATGTCAATTATCATAGCATTGATCAAAGAGTTTTAACTGAAGCACGAGGAAGGTGTTGTTCAGGCACTACAATATCGTGTCATTAATAGACGCGATCGGGTTTGGCACATTTTCATAAGTTCCATCGTTGTACATTATCATCACAACCTAAACAAAAATGAAATATGAAAGGTTAATAACATGTGGCATCTGACATACTGATTTGTTTGCAAAAATATGTTTTTAAAACATTTATTGATTGATTGTTTGTGTTTAACATCAATCGTGGATATATCTTGGGGTCAGTTTAAGTATTGGAGATAGACAGGAACACTTAGAGAGTCACCGACCATCGACAGGAAAAAAATGCAATCCTTGTGAAATAAGATCGGATTCGAACTCTCATAGTCTCTCGGCAACCAAGACACCTTGACGAAAAATTGATCAAGGACTCAGTTGCCCGAGTTCCACAAAATTTTCCTTTAAAATGGAGAATGGCATATGATAAATACTCAGTCACATCAATACGTAAAATGGGAAAGGGAAAAAAACAATTATTAAATTAAACCGTAATGTTTCCCAACTTCAATTGATCAGCAAACTTTCAGAGATGTTTCAAGAATTTAGTTTGAAAGCTAAAGGAGGAGTATATTTCACAACAGTAGTGTCGTCTTTTGTAAATTGTAAATTTTGTAGAAAAATTACTTCCTGCAACCTTTACGGACGCACTAAATTTATGAAGTATGTATTTCATTTACTGTTACTAGCAATAGGTCGATACCGCTGCTGGTGGACTGTTAGTCCCATGGGTATCATATGCGCATTAGTTTGTTTCTTTGGTTCTGTCATGGATTATAACATATACGGATATAAATTCCCCGTTGATAAATTAAGAAATTTTAAGGAATTATTAAATAATAAACTAAGAAACTAAGATTTAACTCCCTTGGGCAAAGTTGACCTTAGATGATTTTTACTATTCTGTTTAGGTCCTTTGATTTTAAACGTATTTTGTTCATTAAGATATGAAAAGGATTTAGGAACACACACAGCTTATAAAAGCTCTCTCCACATTACATGTACAAGGTATAAATCATATATTAACAACTTCATTGAAGATAGTAGAACTACAGTGGATTAACGCATGCTACTTCTGAGCACACACAAATAAATACACATTTACAGTGTCAATTACAAAATGTATATTATAAATGAGTGTGTAGACAATTAATCATCAATCTTTCAAGTACCTTAAGACATGTATGTATCTACACGATTGATTAGTCATTATGACTATATTTTACAAAAAGGTTTGAAAGTCCCTAAGCATACTTAAGGAATAAAGGAAATAATGTTGGAAAAAAAGAAAAGAAAAAAATAGTGTAAAAGGAAATTTTTCAAACAAAACGCAGATATATTTCTAAACAGAATTAAAAATAGCAATATTGATATCATACGAAAATAATTTGTTTGCAAAAAGTAAAAGTCAGTATTATTATCAAAAATTGAGTGAATGAATCAAGTAAGATATGTCTTACATTATTGTACAAAAGGCAAATAAAAAATAAATGCTGGTTATCCTCAACAGGATGATCCCAGTTTGAACAAATATTGTACTCAAACAAATGAGATGTTGGTTTGCTAGCATTATTCCTTAGTTGACAATGACTGATATTATATTTCCTCATCCCATCATTGAAGGGTTTTAATATTATATCAGTACTTTAACATTTGTCTAGTCTGCTTTTAAATAAACATAAACTTGGGGATTCTTTTATACTTAAAGGAAGATTATTCCAAAGCATTATATTGAAAGGAATGAAGCTATATTAAGAAAGAGCTATTTCTAGCAAATGGGGGGGGGGGGATTTTTTTCTCAGAGTATAATGGGCAGGGATAGGGTAATCGTAATCTGTTATCGTTATCGATTGTAATTGCCTACATGTTTTCAAGTAATCGACAGTAATCTGTAATCGTCCAATTTTTTTATTACATGTAATCGTAATTAATCGATTACAGCAAAAAGTGTGAAATCATCAATTATTTTCGATTACTAGTAGTTTGATGAAAAAGATCCTAGCTTAAATGAAAATAGACAGCTACATGCATTTTACACATTATAGTACAAATAAAATAGAATGTATAAATATAAGAATGATAATTCTTAATTTAAAGAGGGTAACACAGATGTGATTTGAGAATTCTTTCAAATGCCTTATTTAGATCTGTTGTTGTCTCAAGCTGCCTTGTCTTCAACCAGGTTTCTGGACAAATGAACTGTATTTCCAGCTTTTGAAGCATATGACTTTAAAGCCTTGATAATATTTTATGGCCTTTTACATTACAAACATAAAATAGGACTAAAAATAAGAAAATAGTTTTAAAGTTATATGATAAAAAAGTTTAATATGTTTTATACACTTGAAAGGCTAAGGTTTACTTTAAAACTAGTGTACGTGGATTATCTAGTAAAAGAAAATCCTAAATCTTATCAAAATCTTCAAATATGTACTGTCATTGAATTATTGTCTTCCCGTACTCTAATTCGCGGATATTGTTCCGTATGCGTTGACCTTTACTACAAGACCACTCGTTAGTACTTCGGCCACCAAGAATGTAAACAAACGTGCACTGGAAGGAAAAAAGTAATGGTCGATTCTTAAAGAACAAATTAAATACACCAAATCATTCAACTCATTAACAACTGTTATGGAAAAGTTTAATTAACAAATAGTAACGCATTGAAAATATATAAACAAATAATTAACATCGATCTATCATTTCACTTATTTCGCACGTGCCCAACGATTCTGTGTTGATTTTTTATCAATGCTACATTCCGGTAAACTTCGGCAACAAACTCGAAAGGAAATTAGCTTGCGATCAACAATCACTGAATGAAATATAATGTGTCTATACTACGTTATCGATTCAGAATAAATGTAAAAAAAAGTTCACTGTGGACTTAGTTCAGTATATATGCATACTTTGGTTTAATTATTTCCATAACATTGTAATTACAAGAAACTCGTTTCAACTGACTTTAAATTCTGAACTACATTGATGTTAAAATCTTGTATTGTATCAAAATTCCTTAAAGCATAATTTTCAGTAAGAGGTGGAGTTTTAGCTTACAAAAAACCTTTGATTCGTAATAATGTAATGATATAAAGATTAAAACAAAGGATACAAAATCCTCTTAACAATGAACAAATGCATTGAAATTCTTGTTCAGAAATAAAAACATGTATTCCATTTTGACACTAGAAATATAATTAGCACATACTTACAACGTCTCGTCCAATCAAATTGCTTGAATTTGCTTTCTAATTTTCATAGTACATTTTTTTTCCGTGTACTAAGTAACTGTGCATGAATGACCACAAGTGTGAGATTCATTGAATCCTAATCAAGACATTAAAACAAAATTTGAATAAAATGATGTGTCCCAACTTTTTAAAAAAAAGTTTGGAATTAGTTTTCACATTAATTTTAAATATCCTGCTATTAAATCTCTGATCTAAAAATATTTTTGACAATTGCAAGTTTCTTTCATTTAAATAATAAATAACACATATGGTACTTAATACCTTGATTAGAATACAACGCTATCTTACAATTGTGGTAATTTATCATCCATGCAATTTCTTTGTTCACAAAAAAGTGTGTAATATGAAACCTTGTGAAGGAAATTAAGGCAACTTTAAGATGATTTTTTTTAACTTTCTTAAGTCAATTGATCTATTTTATCATGATTTGAAAAACCGTGAAAATATCGGAAGGGAATATGGCGCCTATAAATATTCTGATAATCTTTTAGTTTTTACTTTGAAATTAAAAAAACACCACAAAACCTATGTTTGTTTATTGGTAGTTGCTTTTTAATGCATATCCGCTAGAGTATCTATGGGTACATATATTTATATGTTTCAAATTTGGCATAGCTTTATTGTTACTGTGAAATTGGAACTGTTTTCAAAACATGTAAAGCTTCCACTGCAGTTTAATTATATATTTGCCTGCTTTTGCTCAATTTATGTTGTCATCTAACCATGTAAAGAAGAACATGTTGTATACCAACGCTTTATATCAATAAACATACTTACACCAGCAACATCTTTTCATTCTGGAGTCAAGGGCCTTTCGAAATCATATATTTTACTATGATACTAGTGAGTAAATTTACAAAAAAATAAACATAGTTAGTGAACTTCGTTTTACAAACACCTGTGATATAAGTAGTCAGCCAAAAATAAACTATCACTTGTCTTCACTGATTAGGTGATCAAAGACTTTCAATTAATGATATGCGACTTTGTTTTGATTTCAATTATGACTAATAACGTGTGAGATCTACATTGTATAGCCCTAGTGACAATCTTATAATCTGCAATTAGAGAGATTATCTAAGTATAGGTTAGATAATACTTGGTCATGTTTAATGAATATTCAAAGCCCGAGGCGCAGCCGAGGGTTTTAAATGGTCATAAAACATGACCAAGTATTGTCTGACCAATTTAGAACATATTCACACCTTCAAGTGACATAAATAAATTATAGCCTCTCCCATTGTAATAATCAAACCTTAATACATCAGGTTTTTAGGTTAATATAAAAATTAGAAGATGTGGTATGATTGCCAATGAGACACCTCCCGACAAGAGACCAACTAACACAGAAATTAACAACTTTAGGTCACCGTACGGCCTTCAACTATGTGTAAAACCTATACCGCATGGTCAGATATAAAAGGCCTCGAAATGACAAATGTAAAACAATTCAAACGAGAAAACTAATGGCCTAATTTATGAACAAAATAATGAACGAAAAACAAATATGATATACAGCAACAAACCACAACCACTGAATTACAGGCACCTGACTTGGGACAGGCACATACAGAATCCGGCGGGGTTTAACTAGTTTGAAGACGCGCCAACCTCCCCATGGTTAGTAAAAGGGATGCAAATTATACTCTGCGAAAAAAGAAACGCATAATGGATTTTTAAGAATTTTAATACATATATTTTGAACGGAAGTTTTACAATTACTACTAAAGATATTCACTCAAAACGTGTTTGATTGAGAAGAGGACAGTAAATTCCTTCAAGATTGATGAATAAAAGTCAATTTATCACAATAAGAGTTACTTCCGGTGCCATTATAGT